AAGGGAAAAAAAAGAAAAAAAATCCCCCTCTAGTGGTAGAAGGCGGAATAGCAGCTTCCCATTAGTTTCTATGGACGGAAAAGAGCAGATACGGATTAAATGGTTTTCAATGCATTCCTATGGGAAATGCAGATTCTACATAAGAACTTTTCCACTTGAGAACCACCTTCCAATACGGATTAAGTTCTTAAGTAGAGACCCCACTGTACACCAAACCCCAAGTTGGGCTCACTCCTCCAGTATACCACTTTTTTTAAAATATCAAATTGCATCCTTCCAACAAAATTTCACAACAAGAGAGGAGGTGCCCTTTCTCGGGTGGTGAGTTCGGTGGTCGTTGCACCACTGGCTGGACTCTTTAAGTATGCTAGGCCGAGGCAGCACTCTCAGATGACCCTAAGACAAGTGTACTGTTCAGAAAACCAATTGAGTTTTATAATCATTATTTTATTTAAAGAAAAATAAGCATGTTTCTAGGTATCAAAACCAAACTAAGTTAAGGCAAGTAAATAAGCATTGTGTTAGTTATTTACAACTCTGTAGTGAGGCAAAGAAAACATGAAAAATAGAAAAGTGTTCAAAAACCTTACAAGAATACAAAAAGCCATTAAAAAGAATAACAACTGTTCCAGTCAAGTAATTCATCAGGAAAAACAAAATAATCCAAACATGTTATAAAAAGGCTATAGTCCTCAGTGATCCTGTAGAATAAAAATCCTGTACCAAAAAGAAAAATCCAGTAAATGTCCCATTGACCTTAGAGAAGCACAAGAGCATAGTCCATATGAAGTATTCCAAAAGTAAGAGTCCATAGAGAAATAATTCATAGAAAATAGTCCTTAGGGAAAAGCCCATAGGTCCAAGGGTAATCCAGTATAGTATAAGGATCAGTCCATGTAAAGATTGGTCACGATAGACTTCAGGGTTGGTCATGAAAGACTGAAGAGTCGGTCATGAAAGACATTACAATGAGTCACGAATGACAATGTCCATAGGCAAAAAGTTCCTTTTTTAAGAGTAACTGGCAAGGGCTTATCGTACCTTCCCACGATGTCATCCAATCAGAGTCTGTTACTAGGCAAACAGTCCTGTTGCACCACATGACTTCGTTCCCATACACACCAGATGTTATTTGGGTTACTGTGGTTTAGCAAAGAGTCACAACAATTCCCATCTATCTAATCACTCCGAGTTCTTTCTCAGGCTCTCAGAATAATATCCTCTCTGCTTGCACTAGCAAACATTAGCATGTCAGTATTATACAGATCCTTTATACAGAGAACAAGATGGAACCTCTCTTGCTCATTTCTTAATTACAAAACCCATATTCCTCACAAGATTTTAACTCAAAAACCCATCTCATCACAGTTGTGAGTGCCATTGAGCAGAGGCTGGCAAATCCCGTCCAACCTTTGATCTGACCAGCAAAAGAAAGTTGATGTCCAAAGCAGAGAAAGGCCATCATCCCAAGGTTTCCGATTCAAAGGCTTCCTTCCGTGGGGAAAGGGCCACTAAAAAAGAGGCCTCAAGCAAGAACCTTGCAGCCCAGCCCAGAATTCTACTGGCCAGAGAAAATCCGTGGCCAGACTTAACAAAAGAGACAAAGCCATGGGAAGCCACAAATCCACCTTCTTTAGGGGGACGTGGCACCCTCTACAGGAAAATCTAAAATCGGCATCTCTTTGTTCGGCTGGGACCTGGAAATCCTTTACTGAGGCACCTTGAATCCACAAGAACGAAGGCTCTGGCAAGGGTTCTTGATGTCTCCATTCACGAGTAGAATGCGTGAGGCGATGGGCTGAGGAGGCTTGTGCCAACTTGCCAGGGTCAGCTCTCTGTAGAAAAGCGCCACAGGCAGTTGGGCTCTTTTGACTGTCGAATCCTCCTGCATCGAAATAGTCTAGAGCACCAGATGCACTGGGGAACTAATAATTCTCCTCCTTCTTTGCAGAAATCAGAGAAGCTTTCCGAGTCCTGGACCGCGATGGCAATGGTTTCATTTCGAAACAAGAGCTGGGGATGGCCATGCGTTCGTTGGGATACATGCCTAGTGAGGTGGAACTGGCAATCATCATGCAGCGCCTGGACATGGATGGTGAGTCGTCTTGGTTGTTTTTATGGGTGAAAAGGCTGCCGCTTAGTGGCGGGGGACGGCCTTCCCATTCAGAAGCCCTCAGTTTCTGTCTCGGGGGTGGGGGTGGGTGGGTTCCAAGTGCTGCCTGCGGGGAAGACTCTCCTCGGATGAAATCCTGAACGGCAGCTTCCACAGGTCCTTGTAGAGCAGAGGGAGCAAATGTGGCCCCAGGACTGCGATTCATAGAAGTTGAGGATCCTGCCTTGTACTCAAGCAGACAAATGGTCTTCTCCAGCCCCTGTGTTGTCAACATGGACTGGGGGGGAACAGCTCTCCGAGGCATCAGATTCTTTTCCTTACCGAGCCTGGAGGTGCCAGAGATCAAAGCTAGGTAGAGCCTATGCCCTACCACTGAGCCGTGGCTCTAGAACACTGTCTTGGGTCCCCTACCACTGAGCCGTGGCTCTAGAACACGGGGTTCCCTGTCTTGGGTCTCTTCTTGGACTAAAGCTCCCAGAAGCCTTCAACCCCTAGCTGGGCTGGCCAGGAGTTCTGGGAGTTGTAGTCCAAGAACATCTGGAGACCCCAAGGTTGGGAACCACGGCTGTACAGCCACAAGTCTTCTGTACTGCCTACAGAGGTTGGTGTTTTAGGTGGGAAATGTCTGGAGAAGCTGCACTGGTCAACCCCGGTTCTTGGCAATGCTGAGCTTATGGCGTCCTGAATTGCTATAAGGCAGCTACATGGCTTCGTAATATTTGTGTACAGGAGAGTCATTTTAAGGTAATATGAAATGGAGGCTAATGAAGTGGGCATGTTTTGATTTTTAAAGAAGCAAAGCTAAGGCAGCGATGACCAAATGAAATGGGAAGAAAGGGCACAGTGTGTGTTTTTCCATTATAATTGTATCATTTTAATGGCTATTCATTCTTCTACAAATGTATTTTTATATCGATATGATACAATAGGATATGATATGATAGTGCTACCCCTTTAATGCAAGCACTACTCTTGACAGCTTACAAAATTAAAACTTGAAGCCCTCAAAACCCCACCATAGCAAAATTGCGTCAGTGGTGATCAAAATTCTACAGTGCATACTTGCATCCTCACTATTAAGTTTCCTTCTTTATCCACGGTGATTTAATCTGGTTTCTTCATGTATGCCACTTGTGATTATTCAAGCTTGCACAGAGTTCAGACCTATCCTTTCCCTGTGAGTGAGTTGCCCCTTGTATACTACAGTAGTGAGAGTCTCATGAAGGTCCAGCATACTGGACTCAGAAGACTAGACGGTGAGGTTATCTCAGGCGGGATTGGGCCAAACGGGGGGCCTCGGAAGTGCAGCCTGACATTTAGAATGATCCTTGCATCTCACACAAGGACCGGGTGCTTTATTTGGACAGGAGACCCCGCCCCCTTTCACCACAACGGTTTATCCCTTTCCTCCTTCTCAGCCTCCATGCCCTCATGTGGGAAAGCCAGAATGTTTGATTTATTGACAACCTATCAAAGATAAGTCAGGTATCACTTCATTAGCTTGGCTAATTCGGGAGCAGACAGCCATGGACAAGCCCTGGGCTGGTTCGTAATTACCTGCACTTTGGGTCGTAGCTGGAAAATAAAGTGCCCCGGACTGCCAGAAGTCATGGAAGCGTGAGCCAAAGAGCTTTCGAGATGGCCTGCAAGGTGACTTCCTTACAACTTTGCCTCTTGGTGAAGATCGTCTCTTCTCTGTCCTCGGAGCAAATGAAATGTGGGAAAGCATGTGTGGGGCAGCACTCCATCTGTGGAACCCACATTGTTAAACAGGCCATGGATCCGTTCTCATTATCCTTGACTTTGATGGGTATTTATTTAGCTGGAAGGGTATTACCTTATTTCCTTTCAGACTTTTGAATTTCTTGTTTTTGATGGTGTTTTGTGTAGCTTGGTTATGTAAAGGTACCTGACAATTATTAGGGCTGAGAAATATAGAGCTTTTATGAATGGTACATGAGGGAATGTTGGGAGAACTAACACGTCATCCTAAACTCATTAGATTATGGGAGTTGGCTGAATCAGGGATGGATAATATGAGAGTCTGCCAGAAAATATAAAGATCATCTGGTAAGGCAAGGAAAAATTCCTGCCTGAAATGCTGGGAGCGCTTCATCCATTCAGAGCTGGCAATATCGTTGAAGAGTTTTGAATTTATGGTTAAAATTCCTTGTTTGTTTGTTTGTTTGTTTTGTACACAAAGGATGTACAGAGATTCTCAGAGGAGAATAGCTACATGTTCCCCCCAAATAGTCCACCCCTTTTTCATTAACTGGCACACGTTGTGACATCTGTAGGCGAAAGAATAAAAATGTTTCATGACTTGCAGTTGTGAATATTAGCAAAGAAACTCTGCTTCCAACAGACTAAAAAGAGGAAAGGGAAGACTCAATGGAGAGGCATGGCTCTTCCTGAATTCGGAGGCAGGAGGGAACCATGGGTAAGTGCTGATGGATGGGCAGTCACCCCAGCCCAAAAAAGTCCCCTCCCAGTCACTCGAACCACAGGCAGCCTGCGAGGTTTTAAAAACGGCAGCAAAAGCTGGACCAGATGCATTATAAGGTAGCTCCTGATGAAATCTAACTGGTGAACAAGGGAATTGCTTTGGGGAAGAAGGAATCTAATGCGTTTTACCTCCATCTCGTTAAATAATATCCATTATTGTTTGATTATGAGTTCTGAGTGAGGGTCATGCAATGTGTGAAGCAGTTTCTTCTCCTACATCAGGAGAAATTATGTTGGAGACAAAAGACGCTGTTTTCTCTTGCACAGTCTTCATGGCCACCGGTTTCTGCTTTTCCATTTAGCAAACAATATGTCTGTCGCGGAGTGCATTCTGTATTGTGTTTCGGCTGACAGGTACACCATTAAATGCTGATTATTCTGTGCTGAATTTTGAATGTACTGTTCATTCCTTTGGCAAATGGTGTCTTGCTCTCAGGTGTCCCTTGGCAGCTTGATGCATCTGCTTAGCAGTGGTGCTTTTCATTTTTGTGGTGGAATAAGATGTTTCATAACAGAAATCTCTGGCGCGTCCCTTTGTGCCTGTGATGACTCACAAGCTGTCCTACTTGCTAACAGGTTGGCTCGGCTTCTACAACAGGAGGCTGGTGTGGAAAACCACCCTACCCCAGAGCAAGAGGGAGAACCAGAAAACAGAAAGATTGGCTGATGAGAAACTTTAGTGTAGCTTCAAATAATCTCATTCAATGGGGTCCTAGGCTGTAGAGGGCAGAGTTGGACGCTAACGTTTAGCAGGCAAAAGAACGGTCTAGGGCAGAAAAGCCGGCGGGTGCTAAAAGTGACCTTCCTGCTGCCTTGTTACGATCAGGAGATCTCCCGATAGCCAGGATGGCTATCAAAACCAGAGGATGAATTCTTTCCCTAAGCAAAGCACTTCCAGATGTCTTCCAGCATCAGCACAGACAACCTTCTGAGCCCTGCTCTTGCTTCTTCTCCCCAGAGTAGGGCCCTCAAGAAGGATGGGCCACTTGATCAGCCTCTCAAGCACCCAGGATTTAGCCACAGAACCCTTTGTCCCTGGACGGTAGGAAGTGGCAACTAGAACTGGAACTAGAACCACGGGAACCGATGCCAGTAAGGGTGGACTCCTCCAATCCCTGTGGATTCCAGTTGTGACATGATGTGCTGAGCAGTGCGATCTCAGCCTTTTGTCTCCTAAATTTGTGGTCCTGGCCCAGGATTTTTGAGGTAGCCTTTAGTTGCTTGGGTGGCCCGCGCAGGATTTCCCTCTCTTTCCATTGCTTTGTGGCGTGACCTCAGCAGAAGGAGGCCTCCAGCAGGGATGAGCAAGAGGAACCTGGGTGCTCCAAAGCCTTGGGCGGAAGGACCCACTTGATCTTGGGGATCCCAGGCTCTCGTGGTCCCTGTGAATGATGGGGGGAGCTCAGAAGGCACGTTGGAGAAGAAGATGATGGAATGGGTTCTCGGTGTAGAAAGGATTGCAGGAAGCTGAAGGCCCGAGTCTTGTTTCAAGCTCCGGGGCAGATTGCGTGACTGTGGGGGAGGTCTCCTCATGAGTAAGTGGTCTCCTCACACGTGGGCTCTTTCTTCCACAGAGGCTTAGGGGGCCAAACCTTGCTGCTGGCTTCTTATCCCTTCCTACCTGGTTGGGCTCCAGCAGCCCAGCTAGAAGACAGCCTTCTGTGGGCTTTGCAAGGCTGCGGAGAGAACATGCTTGACAGCCTCTACATGCTTAATGAGACCGAGGATCCCCCTATATTAATTTTTGGAAAGCACTCCCCCCCCCCCCGCCNTCTCCTGTCATTTTCTCTCTTTTCTGTGGCGTGTGTATCTGTGTGTTATTATTGGGAATGAACTTACTTTTCCTTTCACAACCTGTGCACCCTAATTTGGGTCCTGCGCTCTCTCGCTTATGCAGGCGGTGGGACAACCACCTGATCTTAGACCCCTCTCAGAGTTACAAGTCCGTTTATCTCTGGAGAGTAATTACATATAATTATTCTGACATTCCTGCACTTCATTTATCTGCTTTATCTCTTGCTTGACTTTTTCGCAGCTTTACTGTAATGTCTGCTATTCTCTAATGCAATCAGGACAGATATATTGATTTTTATGTGTCCATTAAAATTCTGCTGTGTGAATGGGACTTAATGAGCCCAACCTGTACGGAACAGTGTTGCCATGGTTCAGAGATTCCTTCCTTAGGGTGCCTATTCAGAACATATCCTGATTGCACATGTGCCCTGAGAAGGCCAGCTAAATGGATTGCGTCATCAGATAACTAGGGCTAATCTTGCATTAACTGCTCCAGCTACCTACCAAATCCCATATCTGTTTTAAGATGCTGGTTTATTTGTCTGTCTGTTTCATCCATAATAATGTGCTATACTCCCCCTACCATCAAAAGGACAATGGGAAAAGACAGCAGATTTGACAAATGCAAGCAGAAATTAAATCACTTGTAGGTTTTTCAGGCTGTTTGGCCATGTTCTCAAGGT